CGCTGTCCTCCTCGGCCTCCTTCTCCTCCTCCTCGTCCTCCTTCTCTTCTCCTCCCCCTTCTCGTCCTGCTCCTCGCCCTCCTCGTCGTGGCCGTCTGCATCGTGGCCGTCGCCATCCTCGACCCCTCTTGAGTCCTAGCTTGGCATCGCTCGGACGTGTGCATTTTTGTTCGGCGAGAACCATCGAGGACCATCCTGGACCATCGAGCAAAAAAAACACGCACGAGATCGAACAATGCACGGGAAATGGACGTCCGAGCGACGGCAAGCCTAGGGACTCCCCCCCGCGGATCGCCGCAGAGGCGTGCCGGTGGGGCGGGCTGGGCGGCCGGCTGTGGCGTCCCAACCGTGTTCGTATGACCTTCCCGTTCGAATGATGGGCCCGTCTTCCACCACCACCACCACCATCAGTTGGAGGGGGGGGGAGGAGGAGGAGGAGGAGGAGGAGGAGGAGGAGGAGGAGGAGGAGGAGGAGGAGGAGGAGGGGAGGAGGAGGAGGAGGAGGAGGAGGAGGGGGAGGGAGGAGGGAGGAGGGGGGGGGAGGAGGAGGAGGAGGAGGAGGAGGAGGAGGAGGAGGAGGTGGAGGAGGAGGAGGAGGAGGTGGAGGAGGAGGAGGAGGAGGACCCCCTCCCCCTCTAACTTAGGGTGGTTGTGGTGGTGGTGGAAAGCAGGCCCATCATAGCATTTTCCAGAATGGTTGACTCTTCGCGTAGCCCCACCAGCCCATCCAGAGACGATGCCCAGAGGAGTTGCTAGGGGGCCACATGCGATCCCTACCCCTACCTCCCACGATTTCTGAGGGGGAGGGTGGGTGGGGTTCGCATGTGGCCCCCTAGTTGCCTCGATTTGAGAAGTAGGCAGCACAGAGGAAGGGCCCCTCCTGGCGCGCTCTTGGGACACTCTTGGGCGCTCTTGGGGCCGTCTTGGGGCTCCGTTGGGCCTCTCTTGGAGCGTCTTGGGTGCCTCGGGGAGCCTCTTGAGCCTCTCGGGGGTTTCTTGGGAGCCTCTTGGGCGCCTCTTGGGGCTCCTGGGCGCCTCTTGGGGCCCTCCTGAGGCGCTCTTGGGAGCACTGGGAGCGCTCTTGGGGCTACCTTGGAGGAGATCGACCAACAAAGGTGGGAGCTTCAGTTACGACCTCCCCTCGGGAGCCCCACGCATCGCATCTTGGGCCCCTCTTGGGGCGCTCTTGGAGCGCTTCTGGGCGCTCTTGGGGGCCATCTTGGGGCTCTCTTGGGCCTTGGAGCTGCCTTGAGGCCTCGGAAGGCCATGGGAAGCGAAAAGGCGAGAAGGTAACATTCATTGCTTTCCCGTAGGTGTTTGAAGGGTTTGGGCTCCTTAGCGGCCTCCTGGGGAGGCTCCGTGGCCACTCGGAGCCGTTTTGGAGCGGTCTTTGGGCCTCTTGGAGCATTTCTGAAGCCATATTGAGCCATCTTGGGCCATCGTGGGCCATCTAGGAACTCATTTTGGGCTCTCTGAGGCCATCCTCGAGCCATCTGGGGCCATCTTGGACGCTCCAACGGCCCGCGACCCCACCCTTCCAGGTCCAGGGGAGGGGGTCGTGGGGGAAGGGTAAGCCCCTCCCCGAAGGGGAAGAGGGAGGGTGGAAGAGAAAACGCGCTAGACCACCTACGTCCAGCGGGCGAATGGGCTGTCAAGAGTGGAGGGCGGGCTGTATTCAAACTGTGGGTCACGTCGTAGCGCCGTGCGCATTTGTCTTACACTTTTCCAACGTGCTTTCCATCTCGGAGGTTGAGCTGTTTTCAGCATGGGCCTCTCGCTTTGCGCCGCGCACGGACTTATTCCACCAGCTACAGGGGTGGAGGGCGGGTCCTACTCATGGAGGGCAGCTCCTTTTCAATACTGGGCTCTCGCCTTAGAGACGGGCGCATTCAACGTGCAAGTTTCTAACAGTCACAGAGACTGATTCTCTGTGACTGTAGAAACTTGCACGGAACATCAATTAATGGTCATAGAGATTGTGGTCGGCTCCTTTTCGAGATGGTGCTCTCGCTTGGTGCTTCCATTTAACTTGCGGCCGGCCGTATAGCAGTGTGCAGCATTGCCACGGGCGGTGCAGCCACACAGATGGCCAGCAGATTATTTTCGCACAGGGGTCTCTTTGTGCACTCCATTGCCCACCACCCACCAAACCACCCCAGTCCAACCCGAAGGTTTCGATGTGCCCTCCATTTCCAGTGGGGGTTGGTGGTCCGGGAACATGGGAAACGGCACATCTGGAAACCGTGCCCCCCCCCAACCCGAAATTCGGATCTTCGGGTTGGGTTGGGGTGGTCTAGTAGGTCGTCAACTGCCCTTTCCAGTCCTACAGTCGACCCGCGTGGTAGGGATAGGCATCCCTCCCAAGGGTACCCTGGCATCCTTGCCTCCTGGGTCCATCCCTGGACACTTTCGGGAGGGTGCGCTGCAGCATCGTGGATGCGTCTTGGGCTTCTTCTGGTCCTCCTTCTCCGCCTCCTCCTCCTGCCTCTCCCATCCGGCTGCGAAGCCTGCGGCCCCGATGCGCGTGCGGGACGCTCGGGCAGCCGCGCCTCCTCGGCGGCCGCCTGTCTGGGGCCCTCTACCCTCCGCACGTGGAGAGCCGGGGCGCTCGGGTGCGTCGTGTGGAGCCCGTGCTGGGCTTCGGCAGTTGTTCGCGTGGAGAAGCCAAGTTGGCTTCTCCATGCTTTTCTCTTGGGCTTCTCCATGCTTCTCTTGCCACTCCCGACTCTTCTCTTTGGGGGGGGGTCCCCTCGGACGCGCCCTCGCCTGGGCCTCCTCAAAGCCAACTCAGGAGTTTCACAGTCTTGGACTTAGGCAATGCGGCAGGGACCATGGTGTGCGCTTGGAAATCGCATCAGAAAGCGCATCATACCCGAGCAGGGCGCCGCATAGTGTCTGGAGCGCTTGGGGGGGGCCTCCATCGCCTGGTGCTGCACTACAAGGGAAGCTGTGGGATTGCGATCGGCTTGCCCGTCGCAGCTCGAACACCGAATACGACGAGTACTTGGGTCAGCCCCGCTGTGGCACCTTCGAGAGCCCTAGCTGCGATGACCAACTCGCGCAATGTGGATGTCCGCGTGCGTTATCGATGTATTTGCCGCTGCTGGTGCGAAGCGCTCAGGCAGATCCGCAGTAGAAAGCAGCAGTCTTCTCTGGGGGGAGGTCCTCTCCAGCTTGCCCGCGAGATGCGCACCATGCGCTCACACAGGCGGGAACGACGGCATTGCCATCGCGAAGGGTGAAAGGAGCGCAGAGCGCAAGTCGCAGTTCCTCCTGACCTGGTGAGGACGGATGCGAGGTGGTGCAGGCGAGCTGATGCGAGGAGTGTGCTTTGGAGATGTCATTTCCATCGGCAGCGCGAGAGCCACCGTGGTGACCCCCCCCCCTGTTAAGCGAAAAGCAAGGAGGGCGGGGGGCGGCCGCGCAGGCTCCAGCCGCGCTGGGGGCCCACGGGCGCGAGCGACGGCGCGCAGGCTTGCGAGATCGAGTGGCATGGGAAGAAGGGGCCCGAGGGGTCCAGACCGGTGTCGGGGGATGGGAACGTCGCCCGTCTGTCGGGGGCGGAAAAGAGGGGGGTGATGACTAGGGGGGGGGGGGGATATCATGGCGGGGGCCATGATATCTCCCCAGATTTCATGGCGCCTCTTCTTGTTTCACTACGTCCCTGGCCCCCCCGCTGGGCCGCGCACGTGCCGCCGGTCATGATTTGCACACCCCCTTCTTGGACACCCCCCTCGTGGTCGCTCCCGAGTCTGGTCAAGCGGGGCGTCCAACGGGTCAGGAGGTGCTGCAGGAGAGCGGCCAAGATGGGGGCCGTCCCATCAGGCGTCAGGCGCACTCTCCATCGAGATTTGCCGCGTGCTCATGCACCCGAACATGCGGTTGACGATTCGAAGATGTGTCGGGTGTACCGCAGTCGCATTTTCGGGGTCGTCTCCATGTAGGGTCCGCGTGCCTCTCTGCTGCTCAACTGGTAGCGGAGTCTCGGCGCGGCTTTGATCAAGAGCTGACCACCCGATCTTCATCCTCCTTCTTGACTTCGATCTCCTCCCCCTCCTCCCCCTCCTCCTCCTCCTCCTCCTCCTCCTCCTCCTCCTCCTTCCTCTCCTTCTCCTCCTCCCCCTCCTCCTCCTCCTCCTCCTCCTCCCCCTCCTCCTCCTCCTCCTCCTCCTCCTCCTCCTCCTCCTCCTCATCATCCTTTGACTCGACTTCGAACTCATTCTAAGCCTCCGTCTCTTCGCCCTCGCCTCGTCGTCTGCCCCCCCTCTGAGCACTCCAGGCCGGCTGGACAAGAACGAGTTCTACGTCCTGATGAAGCGGATGAGCCCAGATCCGATTGAGAGGCGTGCGAGGGGGACGAGAAGGCAGAGGGAGTTGGATGGTAATGCTGAGGCACAGGAGGAGGGGACCCAACGAGGAGGAGAAGGAGGAGGAGGATGCTATGAGGCACGTCAGCGACCAGATGTTCGCCTGCGTCGATGAGGATGTTAGCGGAGAGATCGACTGCGAGGAGTTCTTGAGCTGGATCTTCCAGATGTATGCCCCATATAGCGGCGGCCTGAGAGAACGTCTTGGTGACATGAACCCTGAGCAGGTTGTGGAATACTTTAAGAGGATCGACACCAATGGGAACGGCGAGCTTGACAAGAGCGAGTTCTGGACATTCCTCACCAAATTCTGCCCCGAGGCTCGCCTGTCACCCAAGGAGGCCAGCGACCTGTTCGATGTGATCGACAAGGATTGCTACTGCAGCCGGTTGGGGAAGGGGGAGAGGGAGCAATGACGAGACGGAATAGGAGGATGATGAAAAGGAAGAGCAGGAGGAGGAGGAGGAGGCGGAGGAGGAGGAGGAGGAGGAGAGAGAGGAGCAGGAGGAAGAGGAGGAGGAGGAGGAGGAGGAGGGAGGAGGAGGAGGAGGGGAGAGAAGGAAGGAGGAAGGAGGAGGAGGAGGAAGGTGAGGGGAGGGTAAGAGAAAGGAGGAGGAGTGGGAGGAGGAGGAGGCGGAGGAGGAGGAGAAGGAGGAGGAGGAGGAGCAGAGGGATGCTGATGATGCTGATGATGATGATGGTGATGATGATGATGCTGATGATGATGCTGATGATGGTGTGATGATGATGCTGACGATGATGATGATGATGCTGATGATGATGATGATGATGGTGATGGTGATGGTGATGATGATGATAGTGGTGGTGGTGATGATGATGATGATGATGGTGGTGATGCTGATGACGATGCTGATGATGGTGCTGATGATGATGCTGATGATGATGACGACGATTATGATGGTGGTGGTGATGATAGTTGTTGTGGTGATGATGATGATGATGATGATGATGATGATGATGATGATGATGCTGATGATGATGATGATGATGGTGGTGGTGGTGATGCTGCTGATGATGATGATGATGATGATGATGATGATGATGATGATGCTGATGATGATGATGATGATGATGATGATGATGATGATGATGATGATCATCATGACGACGATTATGATGGTGATGATGATGGTGATGATGACTATGATGCTGCTGATGATGATGATGATGATGATGAGGAGGAGGAGGAGGAGGAGGAGGAGGAGGAGGAGGAGGAGGAGGAGGAGAATAGGAGGATGAGGGTGATGAAGATGAAGAGTTAGGACAGGAGGAGCAGTACGAGGAGGAGTACGAGGAGGAGTACGAGGAGGATGATGAGGAGGAGAAGGGACGCCATGAGTACACAACCAAGGACTCATCTGGTGAAGTCGACGCCTACGAATTCGTCAGGTGGGTGTACCCAGGCCTCCAAAGCGAAGAGAGCGCCCGCGCTACGATGAAGACTCCTTTCAGGAGCCAGTTGGCGCCGAAGGTCGAGCCTCGGAGAGACGCACTCCGGGCGACGTCGAGGGGTGGCAGTAGCTCAAAGGAGAGCACGAGGAGCCGCGTCCGGACCCCCGTCCTGACCGAGAAGTTGCACCCAGACTTGGTGAGGGCGAGGAACGAGCAGCCTGTGGTGCTCGAGTTCACCATCGGGCCGGACTTCAGAGCCATCATGATGGAGATACAGAAGGCGTTCTCCAAGAGGCTCGCTGGTTCCTGTTCGACGAAGATCATCATCGACAAGCAGGTCAGGGGGTGCAGCAGATTTGTGTTGCGCGTCGGCAGGGGCGTCGTGCTGTGGGACAAGCCGAGCATGATGGCGTACCGGGACGATCCGTTTGAAACCTTTGAGTCTTCGCGAAACTTCGTTTTGGAGACCATCAAAGAGAGAATGCCCACCTTGCTGCGGGCGAGCCGCCAGTGGAGGGGTCGTCGCTAGCGGACTTCCTCGCAGCCTTTCTCCGACCCCTTCGGATGCACCCCGCGCTTCTCCGCAACTGCCCTGGCGAGCGTGCCTGTGGCGGACACTCTTTTTGTTGCCCCAGGGCGACCCCGCTTCGACGGCGCCGGAGAATCGCCAGAGCACCAGGTGCCGCCCCAGGCGCCGCCTGGGTTCACCACCCACCAAACCACCCCAACCCAACCCGAAGGCCTCGATTTGCCCTCCATTTCCAGGAGGGGGGGGGGGTCGGGGAGCGCTGAAAAAACACCTGGAACCCGTACCCCCCCCAACCCGAAATTCGGCTCAAATTCGGGTCTTCGGGTTGGGTTGGGGTCTTCTGGTAGGTAGTCATGGGTGCACGCCCCGGCCTCGCCTCTTGATTGGAGGCCTCGGGCCCTTGTACAGCTGCGCCGATCACTGTAGACTCGGCATCGCTCGGACGTGGGCATTTTTCCTTCGGCGAGGACCATCGAGGAGCATCCTTGATCATTTGGCGAAAAAAAGAACACGCACGAAACCGAAAAAAGCACACGGAACGGACGTCCGAGCGATGGCGAGTAGAGCCTCGCCTCGTCTTGGGCCCAGAGGCTGTCTTAGGCCTCGAGCCTGGCTGGGTTTTTCGGAGCCGCCGTGCGTGCACTTTGAGGGGCCCTGCGCGCCGCCGGCCGCCTCGGCGTCGGCTCTTTTGCCCAGCCCTGCGCTGCCGGGGCCGGCGCGCTCTTCCTCGCAGTCCTCGCGGTGCGCTTCCCCCGCTCTGTGTGTCTCCTTGCGCCGCCTCGCGCAGCCGCCACCGCGCACGGGGGAGCAGCGCGGCCGTGTGCAGACAACCGACCCGCACAGCAAGGGTGAGCGGTTTTCCAAAGTTGCCCTTGCATCCTTCCCCTTCGGCCCACCCTTGGCCGCCTTCGCTGGCCCCGTCCCGCTCGCAAAGGGTCGACATGGGCTTCCAAGGCCCTTGCATCATTGTCGCGCAGCCTCACGATACCGTTCGACTGTAGATGCAGGGTCGTAGCGCTGCAGTGACATGTCGCTGCGGCTCAGTGTGGCGGAGGTGTGTGCGCGCGCGTGTGCGGGCAGTGTGTGGGCGGGGTGCTCGCAGCAGGGGTTGTGGCCGGAGGCCCTATACCGGGACGGACGCCGGCCGGGGGCTCGTGGGCGGATCTCGGGGCCGCTGTGGCGGTGGGCGTTCGAGAGTTCCTCGTGGTTCTGAGAGTCCAGCCGTGGCGCAGGGGGCGTTCGAGAGTTCTCAGGAGGGGAAAAGAGCACACAGACACAATGAATCGTGTCGATTTCCAAGAGAGTATGGGAAAATATGGGAAGTGGGGGTAAGACAAGAACCCAGAAGCAATAAGGGAAAATATGGGAAATCCTGTTATTGGTTTGTATTCATTCAATCGCTTCGCTCATTCCGCCGACCCATGTTGCATGATCGCTACTGCTTCGCCGTGGGCCCGGGGCCATTGTGGCGCCCCCGAGGAGGAAGAAGATGAGGACGGGGAAGGGGAGGGGAGGAGGAGGAGAGGATGAGAAGGAGAGGAGGAGGATGAAGATAAGTAGTAGGAGGAGGAGGAGGAGGAGGAGGAGGTGGAGGGAAAGAGGAAGGGGGAAGGAGAGGCCTCTCGAAGGAGCTTGTGTTGCTCTTGGGGCCAAACTCCTCCTGGCCTCTTGCCTCCGGCCTCTTGGCGGCATCTTGGGGCCTCTTGGGGGCCTCTCGGGGCCTCCGGGGGCCCTCTTGGGGCAGACGGCGCGAGGTTTCGGTTCGTGGTTCCCCTCTTGGGCCCCTCTTGGGGCCGTCTTGGGGTGGGCCGTCTTGGGCGCCTCTTGGGCCGTCTCGGGGCCCTCTTGGGCGCTCTTGGGGCCCTCTTGGAAGCCTCTTGGCCCGTCTTGGGGCGCTCTTGGGGGCCTCTTGGGCCATCTTGGAGCATCCGATGGCCGAAAAGGGGGCAAGGCCCAAATCCTTCCAAAACCACAGTGAAATTTAGGATTTTGGCCTCTCGGGGCCCTCTTGGGAGGCCTCTTGGAGGCCACTTGGAGGCCTCTTGGGCCGTCTTGGGGTCATCATCGGCGTCTTGGAGCGCTCTTTGGGCGTCTCGGGGGCCCTTTGGGCAGTCTTGGGGGCCTCTTGGGGCACTCTTGGCGCGCTCTGGGGGGCCTGAGAAGCCACACCCAGGAGGAAAACCATCTCTGGGTAGCAGTGGTCGGGCTGCGGTCGGGGTACTTTTCGCCGGTGGACCCCCAGGGGCCGCCCCGCGCGCGCGCGCGCGAACTAGACATATCGTTAACCAGTTACCGGAGATCTTAGCACGCCTCTGGCCCGTTGGGCCGGCGAATTTGTGTGTCCCACGGCCCCTTCAAGTTCCTCGTGACTCTTTGAGTCCAGGGCGAGTTGCCCTGAGCAGGGATGTGGACGAACATGCAGTGGAATAAGGGGTTGGGGAAACCATTATACCCAAATGGGGGGAGGATGGAGGAGGCATCGGATGAGAAGAAGGAGGTGGAGGAGGGACAGAGGGGAAGAACGGATGAGGGACGTGGAGGAATAGGTTGATGATGATGATGATGATGATGATGATGATGATGATGATGATGATGATCATGATGCTGATGATGATTATGATGATGATGACGATGATGATGATGATGATGAGGATGAGGATGAGGATGAGGATGAGGATGATTATGCTGTTGCTGATGATGGTGGTGGTGATGATGATGCTGATGCTGATGATGCTGATGTTGATAATAATGGTGCTGATGATGATTATGCTGATGATGATGCCAATCATGATTGTGATTGTGATCATGATTGTGAAGCTGCCGATTATGCCAATGCTGATGCTGATGTCGCTGATGCTGATGCTGATGCTGACAATACTGATGATGATGCTGGTGATGATGATGTTGATGATGTGGATAAAGCGGATGATAATGATGATGATGATGTGTACGCGGATGACGGTGCTGATGATGGTGACTATGATGATGCTGATAATGTTGATGCTGATGACGATGATGATGATGCTGATGATGATGGTGATGATGGTGATGATGATACTGGTACTGATGATGCTGTTTTTTTTTCTGATCATGATGGTGACGATGACGATGCCGATGATGATGCTGATAGTGCTGCTGATGATGATGCTGATGATGGCGATGCTGATGCTCCTGCTGGTGATGATGCATGGTGCTGATGATTATGCTGTTGTTGTTGAGGATGATGATGCGGAGGACGACGATGGTTATGGTTATGATGTTGATGCGGAGGATTGTGATGATGGTAATGTTTATGTTGATGTTCACCATACTGTTACTGTTGGTGTGTGTTGTTGCTTTGATGCTGATGATGGTGATGATGACGATGGTGGTGCTGATGATGAGTATGCTGCCGGTGCTGATCCTGACGCTGATGCTGCTTATGATGCGGCTGCTGCTGAAGATGATGGTGGTGGTGGGTGTGAGGAAGATGAAGACTAATCATAACAAGAGAAGAACAAAAACAACAATAGGAAGGTGTGGACGAGGAGGATAACGGTGAGCAGAAACGCCAGAGGCCTCTCGGATGCCTCTCGGCGTCTCGTCGGATGTCTCTTGAAAGCTCCTTGGAGTCCTCTTCGGGCGTCTTGTGGGCCTCTTGGCGGTCTTGGGTACCTCTTGAAGCGTCTTTGGTGCCTCGGGGAAGCATTTCGGGTCCTCTGGGGGTCCTTGGGGGCCTTTCGGGGACATCTTGGGGGCCTCTTGGGAGCCTGAGGGGCCATCAGGGGCAATCTTGGAGAATCTCGATCAAAGAGGAGGGGGGGGGGAACCAGAGGTGGCGTTTTTTCCCGCAGGGGGCCAGTAGCAGCCCAGTGCTAAACGGCCCCCCACCTGTCCAGGTCCAGGAGGCAGACGGGGAAGATTCAGGAGAGGAACAAACACAGACACAATTAATCCTCGATTCCCCAGAAAATATGGGAAAATATGGGAATTGGGCGGGAAGACGAAAACCCAGAAAATATGGGAAAATATGGGGAATCATTTTATTTGTGTGTATTTATTTGTGTGTCCTTGAGCCCCTTGAAAGATGGAAGAGGAACCGTGCCGAACCACTCACGCCCACAGGGCTGGTGGGCGTCGCACGCCGCCGCCCCGGGCAACCGAGGCTCGATCCTGGCCGGGGCGCAGCACTCGAGGGGCCACCCCAGGTGCACCCAGATCGCCCCCTCCTCTTGGGCTTGCACTGGTCCTCCTCCTCCTCCTCCTCCTCCTTCTCCTCCCCCTCCTCCTCCTCCTCCTTCTCCTCCTCCGCTGTTTCCGCTGTTTGCCGCGCCATGAAGGTCTGTGCCCTGCAGCGCCATTCTCCTCCTCCTCCTCGTCCTCCTCCTACTCCTCCCCCTCGTCGTCCTCGTCGTGGTCGTCGTCGTCCTCCCCTCTCGGAATCTCTTGTTTGTGTTGCCACACCCTCGGAAACACGTCCTCTTCAACTCGATCAGGCCTTCCGTTCTCCGCTGCAGCTTCTCACACGGCGTGGTGGCGGGTTCTCGTCGTGACGGGGCACGGACGCGGCTTTTGGCTGGGCACGGACCCTAAAGCTCTCTGGTTTCTTCGGACAGGGGTATGGAGTTTCAACAAGCTCATGGCAAGCCCTCAGTGGGCCTGAATTTGAGTTTGTCTCTCCACGGACGGGTGTCCGAAGTCGTTTTAAGGCGCCGGCTGCGCTCGTGAACGAGTTTTGTGTGTCCTTTCTGCACAGTCCGGTTCCTGCAGCCGCTCAGCATGCGTGCTGGAGGATGCTCATCGATCCTCTTCCTTAGTGGAACAACAAGTGACATAAACATAAAAACTCGGAGGTCCGCGCGGAGTTCTCGGATCGGCGCTGGACCCCCCTCCCTGGCGCGCGGAGCGCGAGCGCGCCAGGGGGGTCCGGCGCGGATCCGAGAAATCCGAGCGGACCTCAGAGTTTTTCAGTTTATGCCACTTTTTGCTCCCCTAAGGATGCTCATCGATTTTCCGTCTCGTCCCCTAAGGATTTTCTGTTCCCCTAAGGATTGCTTGTCCCCTAAGGATTTGTTGTTCCCCTAAGGATTCTCATTCTTTGTTCCCCTAAGGATGCTCGACTTCTGTTCCCCTAAGGATGCTCTCCCCCTCGCAGATTTCCTACGGCAGGTGGGGGCGGGCCAGCGCCACCGTGCCTCTTGCACTCCCGGCGTGCGGATGCCTGGAGCTCGGGCGTGCCGGGGGCCCCGGGCGGGCGCGCCCACCGGCATCGATCGATCGGGGGTGTCCAAGGGTCAAGCAGTGGCGAAGCGTCCTGGTTCGCCTGCAGCCCTACCAAACAATGTTCTAGGAACCTCTTGTGTTTTCCACGGACTGTTCTCAGAACATTTCTGGCCGGGGCCGTCCTGTTTTATCACATCGGGCTTATGCTCCAAGAACACTGTTTTTGTTCTTCGAATATTTTTGGGTTCTAAGAACATTTCGTGGTAGGACTACAGAGATGCTGGGACGCTTGGTCCCTGCTCAAAAGAGGGGGGTGATGACGAGGGGGGTGGATATCATGACCAGGACCGTGAGGAGGAGTAGGAGTAGGAGGAGTGGTGGTGGTGGTGGAGCCGTTGGGGGCCAAGTCCGATCCGCTTGCAGCACGTCGGGCCCCTAGGAAAGATATGGAAGCAAACAAGGATGGGGCCTTTGCCTGTCCCCCCCCTGCCGCCTACGGCGAACGCCGCAGCCTCATGCTGCAAGCGCTGCCGCTTCGGCAGAGGCTCCCGTCGCAATTTTATACCTCAAAACTCGGGGGTGGGGGGTGGTTACCCCTTCATGGGGCGAGCCACACACCCCTTACTGCTGAACCTCTGGCCTCATGAGGCCTGGGAGGGAAAAAGAAAAAAAAGATCAAGACTCGCTGACTGTAGCCAACCCTCCCCCCCGCGTCCAGGGCTGTCCTGCTGGCTGTACTTATACAGCAGCAGCCCGTGCAAGTCGACGCGGGACGGGCGGGAGTGGGGGGGGGAGGCGAGCGGCAGCCGCAGGCTCTCGGAGGGAGGGGAAGCAAGACATGCTGGCTCTATTTACTGCCCCTCATCCCTCTCACTGCTCCCGCTTGGTCTCGATATCTCCCAGTCGAAACGCTGCACACCGTAGTCAGATTCATCCAGCACCCTGATGCACTCATGCAAACGATCCAGCTCGTCCCTCAGGTAGCTTATCTGACTGTCTAGGTTGCGCCGCGTGGTGACACGGTCGGCCTCAAGGTGCGTGGGACATGATATTGCGAAGGCCTGACGGCCAGTGCCGCCGACCCTGTTCGCAATGCGCAGCAAGAGATTACGAGGTTGCTCAAGGTCGGCTTGGCTGGAGCCCAGGGGAAGAGGAGTCCCAGGGGGGGGCGTCGTATCTGACCCGGGGGGGGGGTCGCTACCCCCCCCCCCTCCCGGCGGGGGAGGGATCAAAGGGAAGGGGCTTCCCTTCGACTCAATTACGAGGTTGCTCAAGGTCGGCTTGGCTGGAGCCCAGGGGAAGAGGAGTCCCAGGGGGGGGCGTCGTATCTGACCCGGGGGGGGGGTCGACACCCCCCCCCCCTCCCGGCGGGGGAGGGATCAAAGGGAAGGGGCTTCCCTTCGACTCAATTACGAGGTTGCTCAAGGTCGGCTTGGCTGGAGCCCAGGGGAAGAGGAGTCCCAGGGGGGGGCGTCGTATCTGACCCGGGGGGGGGGTCGACCCCCCCCCCCCTCCCGGCGGGGGAGGGATCAAAGGGAAGGGGCTTCCCTTCAAGGTCGGCTTGGCTGGAGCCCAGGGGAAGAGGAGTCCCAGGGGGGGGCGTCGTATCTGACCCGGGGGGGGGGTCGACCCCCCCCCCCTCCCGGCGGGGGAGGGATCAAAGGGAAGGGGCTTCCCTTCGACTCAATTACGAGGTTGCTCAAGGTCGGCTTGGCTGGAGCCCAGGGGAAGAGGAGTCCCAGGGGGGGGCGTCGTATCTGACCCGGGGGGGGGGTCGACACCCCCCCCCCCCTCCCGGCGGGGGAGGGATCAAAGGGAAGGGGCTTCCCTTCGACTCAATTACGAGGTTGCTCAAGGTCGGCTTGGCTGGAGCCCAGGGGAAGAGGAGTCCCAGGGGGGGGCGTCGTATCTGACCCGGGGGGGGGGTCGACACCCCCCCCCCCTCCGGCGGGGGAGGGATCAAAGGGAAGGGGCTTCCCTTCGACTTACAATCGGCTTGGGATTCGGGAAGCGCTGGAAAGGCCCCCAGGGGGGGGCGCCCCCCCCCCCCCCTCAGGGAGGGAAGGGCTTCGGAGGTTGCTCAAGGTCGGCTTGGCTGGAGCCCAGGGGAAGAGGAGTCCCAGGGGGGGGCGTCGTATCTGACCCGGGGGGGGGGTCGACACCCCCCCCCCCTCCCGGCGGGGGAGGGATCAAAGGGAAGGGGCTTCCCTTCGACTCAATTACGAGGTTGCTCAAGGTCGGCTTGGCTGGAGCCCAGGGGAAGAGGAGTCCCAGGGGGGGGCGTCGTATCTGACCCGGGGGGGGGGTCGCTACCCCCCCCCCCCTCCCGGCGGGGGAGGGATCAAAGGGAAGGGGCTTCCCTTCGACTCAATTACGAGGTTGCTCAAGGTCGGCTTGGCTGGAGCCCAGGGGAAGAGGTCTCCCAGGGAAAGGGAAGGACAGAGACGACGAGTACAAATAATGACGGAGATGACGGCTCGAACGGAAAAGCCCCTCACACACGCCGACAGGGTCGGCGGATTATCCCTCTGGAGCTGGATGTAACTGAGCTGGCTGTTCAACATACTACACTGCCCCAGTATAATAGAATAATGATCGCGCAGGATACGGCCCGTCGAGAGGTGGGCCTGCTGAGCTGCATGCACTCTCCCCAGGTCGTCATTCTGGTTCCTGCGGGTCGGAGCTGCCTTCGAACGAATCGGTCCAGGAGGGGGTCCTGTCGGCTGGCGAGGTACTGGCACTGCATTTGCACCCGTAGCAATAGTTGGCGCAGCCTTCGCTGCAGCCGTGCCCGCGGTAGATGCTGGTCCAGTCGCCATGGCTCACAGCAATACAAGCAATCACAATAGCAACTGCTCTATGCGGTCCCCCTGCAGCTCGATCGACACTACACTCAACAACATCTCTCCCTTCTCTCTCCTTTACTATGGTACTGTGCGTATATTGCAACTGTTGGGACATCTGGCGCCTAACGAATTCTACTGCTCTGACTAGCTGCCCGACTCTCTGCACCCCGTTGTCCCGCATCTTGTAGAGATTCGCGAGCTTCCGAGGATCACGGGCCAGTGCACGCGCGTGCTGCATCACACTCTCTGGAAATTCCACAGCTGGCGCTCCTCTGTCCTCTCCAACTCCGTCCTGGGTCCTGCTCCCGTCGGCTTGGTCCCCCCCGCTTTGATCAGCCCCAAGGTGAAGGCGCTCTGGAAGGATCTCATGTCTACCGTGGGCACTTGTGCTGGGGGTCCCTTGGCCAGGTGGATCACCGTCCTGAGGTCGGGGCTCATGTTGGGCGAGTACTGAAGTTTTGCCTTGCGCTCCTGCTCTGGCGCTCCGTCTGGGCTGTAGCACTCCCTCAAACGGAACATCCTGAACAACTCGTCCACGTATGCTTTCCCGTACTCCTCTGGACCTGCTGCTTCCATCCAAGACGCGAGTACTTTCTTGGCTTCTCCCTCGGTCCCCTCGTCCCCGAACGCGTCGTGCATCGCCCCGACCACCCCCGCCGCTATGTGCACGTGGGGGGGGCCCAGCTTGTGTCCCTTTCCCGCTTCCTTGACAGCCTGGTGGTACCCCTGTCCAGCCTCGAAACCTTCTCGTACGACTGAGGCTGTGCGAGGGAGGATCCAAAACTCGGTGCATATGTTGGCCATGCCTCTCTGCTCTGCTGCTACGCGGAGGGTTAGCTTCTGGACAGTGACCAAGGCTTGCTGGAGTTCTGGGGCTGCGGCGACGTTGTCTGCTCTCACTTGCTTGTGCCCCCTGCCCCTGCCACCTCCCCCTTTCCCAGATAGCTGCTGGTCCCCACTGCTGCTGCCCGCTCCGCTGGCTCCTTCCACCGCCCTCTTCTTCTTCGCTGACGCCCAGGACACCCTCATCTCTGCCAAATCTTACTGTGTGCGGTCCAGGATGGTGGCAAGTGACGTGTGTCTGGAAGTCTTCGAAACTGCTAGCTTGATGCTGGCAAACACTACAGATCAATTCGCTCTCTCTTACCTCAATCAGCTTGTGTCCCCACTTCGAGAACGCAATGCAGCAAATGCCCGTCCCCTCTGCTGCTCTTGCTGCATGGTCTGTTGCGACTCTCTTAGTGGAAAAGGTCGATCTGCACCACGG